CACTCATAAAGACGAATTCACTAACGTACAGGAAAGATTTTATTCACTCGCAAGTAAAGTGGAAGAAATAGTAAGTTCCACCGTTTCGACCGCGAGTACCGGTGTCACTATTAGCGCGTCGCAACCCAGCGGTTCTGAGACCACGGCGATCGTAAAACGGCGAGTAAAATTGCCGGAAGCGTCTCTACCGAAATTTGACGGCCAATACGAGAATTGGCTGTCCTTCAAAAATACTTTTATCGTTATGATCGATTCACAAACAGACTTGAGCGAGGTACAAAAATTGCAATACTTAAAATCGGCGTTAACGGGCGAGGCAGCTAATAAATTAAAGATTCTATCGATCGAAGGCTCAAATTATCAAAAGGCATGGGAACTGTTGAAACGCTCGTACGAAGTAAAGCGGATATTAATTTCACGCCACCTTTCGTTGCTCTTAAACACACCCGTTTTAGAAAAGGAGACAACCGACGGCTTGTCCAAGCTTGCCGATGACACGCAGCAACATGTAGCATCGTTAACCGCGTTAGGAGTTAACGTGGGGTCCGAGATACTTGTAAACGTACTAGAAAGCAAATTACCTAGGAGCGTAGCGGAGAAATGGGAGAAATCTCTGGATCGGGACGAATTTCCGAAGATCGACGATTTATACGAATTTTTATATAGAACCGCAGTTCGTATATCTAAGCGTGTTCGCGCAGGAACGACCAGACAAGCCGAGGACAGATCGACACCTCCCGGGAAAAAGGCGCGAATATCCAACAAGGCATTTGTGGTTAATTGCGAATAATTGCCCAGCGTGTAAAAATAAGCAACATCCGTTATTTAAGTGTGACAATTTCAAGCAATTATCTGTGCCGAAGCGCATCGAATGCGTGAAAAACGCGATGCTTTGTTATAACTGCTTACGTTCACATCGTGGTAAACCTTGCAATTATTCACACTGTACCATTTCCCAAAGGCGACATAATACGCTTTTACATCTTGAGAAAACCCAAGTCGCATCCACGACAACGGACGCGACGGTCGTCAAGGAGAAACAAGGCGCATGACGTATAAAGGGGGGTGGTCACGCAACGACGTGTCTCGCAGCGATCACACCCATTTTCACACCACAATTGATGACCACCGCGACGATATTTATTCGGGATCGTGAACTCAAGTTAATTAAGTGTCGCGCCTTGTTGGATACATGTGCTACCGCCAATTTCATTTCCGAGGGTCTCGCGAGACGTCTAAGGCTCCCTATAACTACATGCGCATTGCCAGTCGGTGCAATCAATTCAATGAACACGATTTCAAAAGGTGTCATTCGAATCACTATTCAATCGCTACACAGTGAGTTCCGCAAGGACTTGCAATGTTTGACAATCCCTGTAACATCAGACTTAGTTCCGTCGGAAATTTTCCCGCGAGATTCCATCACAATACCGTCCAATATAAAATTAGCTGATCTAGAGTTTCATTTGCCGCGTCCTGTTGATTTGCTGATTGGTGCGGGGGCGACATTGTCATTATTCTCCATAGGCCAGATCAATTTATCTGTAACGATACGTTTCCCGCTCTTCCCGGTTCTGGTCTCCGGATTGTCGGACGGGATTCCGCAATCCGCTTGTGCTTCGCGTAACTATCAGACGCGCGGTTCTACTTAATCGGTCGGAAGAGCGAGTGTCGTTCGGTCGGTGTTTTGATGTGCTGTGTAACGGGAAAAGGGATCCTCCGTTCCTCCTATTTGCCGAATATGCTCAGCTCCAGGGCCGTCGGGAGGAAAGGAGGACAAGATCTTAATTACTTAGTGAAGGCAATCGCTTGGGGGAATCGGAAAATAAGTCGGACAGGTGTTTAAAGGTGAAATAAACGTGAACTAGGTTTATTCAGGAACGAATACAAAGGATTTCGTGGTGATTACAATGGATCCGCCCTAGAGTGAAAATATAAAGGAAAGAAAAAGGATTAATATTACAGTGAGTCCGCCCTGTGATTAAATACAGAGAAAAACAGGATATGGTTAGTCGGAATCAATCGGAATACGGAAAATAATAATTACAATATGGATCTTGATCGGAGTACGAAAGTAAGTGAATACAGTACGGATTTACTACAAAGTACGGACAGTACGGAATCGATCCGGAATATAATAAGTACCTTACGGATTTATAACGGAATACGGAAATTAATGGATACAATACGGAGTTTTGATCGGAACACGGAAATAAACAGTACAATCGAATCGGAGTACGGAGATAATGGATAAAATACGGAATTACGCGGAAACAATAAGTACGGTACGGATTGTAACGGAGTCTGGACAATTCAAAGTATAATACGGATCTAAATCGGAGCACGGAAAATATGGAATTACACTGGTAACTGGAAACAGTCAGACAGGATGACTGCACGGACCCCTTTACTCTGCAAGGGAAGAAATAATACGGAATTAATACTACGGAGCTTACTATTAGAGCTAACGGAGAATATTATTTCCCACCCGAATATTACCCCCCTGAATGCTATACCGGTCAGGAAACAGGAAAAGGAATCGGGTCAGGACAGGATCACGCCCGAGCGGCGCCTCGTGATGCGTGAGTTTGCAGTAGGAATTGTACACCGAGGAGCACCCCGTTAGGTGTACGCTACTGCGGGATTACTCTGCCCCCCGAATCACGGCGGTACCCGTGCCTTCGGGGAAAACGGAGTCGGGACGGAACAGGAGACCGGTGCGGAGAAATTGTAGCATGTGTACGCCGAGGAGCACCCCGTTAGGCGTACGCTACTGAGGGACGGGGCCCACAACGGAGAA